TCTTAAGAGTATTTTGAAAAAAATTAATATGAAATACTTTCAACTTACAGGAAATTATATGCAAAATAGTAAAAACTCTCACATACACAATGTAAAGATTCGTTTATTGTTAACACCCTATTACCTTTACAATTTCTCAACCTACACACACACACTTTTTTTTCTGAAACACTTGAGAGTAAGTTGCAGACATCCTGCCCCTTTGACTCCTAACACTTCAATGTGTATCTCCTAAGAAAAAGGACATTCTGTTATAAACACAGGCAAGTTAGAAAAGTCAAGAAATATAACAATGAGGGCCTCCCAGGTGGCGCAGCGGTTGAGTGCTGGGCTGCAAAGCTGTCCACAGCCTCTGCAGCGCCGGTTCAATCCACGGCCGGCCCGGCGAGGATCCCACACGGTGCGCAGGCCTCTCCTGCCGCGTCCGCTGCTCCCCTCAGCAGTGTATTTCGTCAGTCTGCCTGTTCTGCTCCCTGCTCTGGTTCTGGTGAATTCTCTCACTCCCCCCCACCCCCGCCGCGCTTCTGACTGTACCCAGTGCTTGTATAAATAAATAAATCTTTAAAAAAAAAGAAATATAACATTGATACAGTATACTGTTATTTAATCTATAGGTCATATTCAAATTTTGTTCACTGGCTGAGAATGTCCTCCGAAGCTACAGTTTTCTGGTCCATGATCCAGTCTAAGGTCACACATTGTATTTAGTTGTCCTGTTTCTTAATTCTCTCTTAAGTCTCTTTAAATCTCAACAAGCTCTCAACCTTTCGTGGCATCAACATTTAGGAAGAGTACAGGCCAGTTACGTTATAGAATATCCCTCAGTTTGGGTTTGCCTGCTGTGTCCTCATGATGAGAGGTTATGTGTTTTCCGCAGGAGTAAAACATAAAAAGCCCACGATGATTATTGGGCATATTTGCTGTGATGACTTGGTTATGATGATGTCTGCTAGGTTTTTCCATTGTCAAAATACTATTTTTACACTTAATAGCTAATATATGGGGAGATACTTTGAGACTACATAAATAATACCTTTCTCATCAAACTCACTAGTTTTCAAATCCATTATGACTCTTGTCTGTTATTGCCATGTTGGTTGCCAATAGTGATGTTCTTCCCTTTTTTTTTAAACGTTTTTCTTTCCAAGTAACATTGGTCTCTAACACTATTTAAGTTTCAGGTGGACAATGTTATACTTCGACATCTGCATATTCAGTATTGTGATGATCACGTAAAGTCTAGTTTCTGTCCACCATCATCCGCTTGACCCTCTTTACCCATTTCATCACCCCTCCACTCTCTTTCCCTCTGTTCACCCCCATTCTGTTCTCAAAATCTTAAGAATTTGTTTTTGTTTTGTGTTGCTTGTCTGCTTTGTTTCTTTGTCTCCCACATATGAGTGAAATCATATGATATCCCATTGGGTATGTACACCATATTTTTCTAATCTACGCCTCCGTAGAACCTAGGTTGTTTCCGTCATTTGGCTATTGTAAATAGTGCCGCACAATAAACATAGGCAAGCAGATACTCCTTCAAGTTAGTGTTTTTGCATTCTTGGGGTAGAAACCTGGACGCAGAATTGTTGGATCACCTATATTATTCTGAGAAACCTCCATACTATTTCCCCATAGCGGCTGAACCTGTCTACATTGCCACTGAGGGTGTAAGGGGGTTCCCTTCTCTCTACATCCTCTCTAACACTTATCGTTTGCTGCCTTTTGAAAAATAGACATTCTTCCAGGTGTGAGATGGTCTCTTATTGTGGTTTTGATTTGCATTTTCCTGATGATAGGTGGTGACGAGCATCTTTTCATGTGTCTCCTGGACATACACATAACTTCTTTGGAAATATTTCTATTTAGATTGCTCTGCTCATTTTTTAATCAGGTTGTATTTTTTGTTGTTGTTGAGTTGTATGATTTCTAAAATAATACACAGTTACTAATTAAATGAATTCTTTGTTTGTCTCACAAGGGACGGATGCCTCCCTTGCTGGGACAGCAGCCTCTGGGTGGCTACTTGGCTCGAAAGCACAATGATACGTCTCAGTGTCTGGAAACCTTAGGTCAGGTCAGACCTCCTGGCAGCCCTGCTAGTCTTTATCAGGGCCCACAGTGGACTCCCTGGTTTTCCCAAGATTATCTCTGTGCTGAGAACTAGCAGTAGCTGCTACTCGAGGCCGCTATGTATGGGTCTGCTGCCTTCCTGTACTTGCTATTTCCCATCATATTTGAGACCAGACAGGGCCAGGGGGCAGGGAGACATTTGCTTTCCTTGTGGAATTTTGTATTCCGCACAAGCTCTTCTTGCCATTATGGAAATGCACATTTCTTGTGATCCACATTTCTAGTCACTTGGGATCAAGGCATCATTTTCACATGGATTCATGCACAAGACTACATGGAGGGCAGAGAGAAGCTCTGTGGTGGGGCTATTTCTGTTTAGGGACTGTATTCACTTCCTAGGGCTGACCACAACCTAGGTGACTTAAAACAACAGAAATTTATTCTCTCACAATCCAGAAGCTAGGCCTTTGAAATCAAAGTATGGCAGGTGTGCCTCTAGGCAGAATCCTTCCTTGCCTCTTTCTTCCAGCTTCTGGTAGCCAAAGTTGTTCCTGGCTTGTGGCTATATAACTCCTGTCTCCACCTCCATCTTCACTTAATCTGAACACTGTGTCTGTCTTCACATCATGTTCTCTCTTTGTATGTGTTTGTGTCTAAATTTCCTTGTTTTTATAAGGACATTAGTCATATTAGAGTCAGGTTCACTTAATGACTTTATTTTAACTCGATTACATCTGCAAAGACCCTATTTCCAAATAAGGTCATATTTATAGGACCTGGGGGTTAGAATTTCAACATACCTTTTTGGGTGACCCAGTTCAACTCATAATGGGAACCATGTCTGAAATCCAACCCATTTAAGAATGCAAAGTGGAGTGCTGTTGCCTGTAACCCTTCCACCCAGTATAGCAGAGCTCTCTTCCCCTCCTGCTCACTGTGGCCTTCACTGGCTCGCCAAAATATAAGGAAGGAAAATGAGATAGGCAGAACATGCTCAGCCTCCTTGAAATAGACTTTGGACATAATTTTCAAGCTAAGTGATCACAAGCTATTCACGTAACCATTACATGGAGGACAATAATAGAGAACAAACCGAATCTGCAAGGTTCTCACCCCTGCAATCCCTCATAGAATTCTTATAATTACTCTATGCTATAAATAGATGTGTTCTGGGGCCTCCCTGTTGGCGCAAGGGGTTAAGTCTTGTGCTATGAAGCTATTAGCAGTCACTGCAGAACGAGTTCGATCCCCGACCAGGGAGTTAACCTACATGGTACAGCAGACCTCTCCTGTCTCACCCACTGCTCCCCTAGCAGTGTATTTCAGTCAATCCATCTGCTCTGCTCCCCACTCTGTCTCTGGTGAATCCTCTCACCCCTCCACCTCTAGCCTACACCCCAGCTCTTGTATGCATAAATAAATAAAATAAATCTTTAATAAAAAAATAGATTTGTTACCATTTGACAGATGAAAAGTATGAGACCCAGAGAGGTGACGTGACATCCCTCAGGTCACACAGCTTCTGACTCAGTAAATTCCATGCAGGGGAGGATCATGTCCGATGCCTAGAGCCTAGTCCCCTGGAGGCACTTAGTGAGTATTTGTTGGCTGAACAAGTGAATGGATGATTAAATCTGAGACTACAATTCTGGTTTTCATTTCCTGATCCACTACTTTTTCCACTGTTTCTCAAAAATAACTGTAGATGTGACTGGGTCAGTTTCAGATTCTGTTGCTCTATTGCACAGCCTTCTGAATTCTGTAGTAATAAGCATATCAGTCTGTAATTGATTTTTTTCCTGCTCTACCCCTGAAAAGTTGATCAAAAAGTCATTTTGTCTACATACTTAAGCCATTGACTTTAAGTTTACTTGAGCACATGAGATTTGTCTAAAACTGCATTTGCACTAAAGGTGGGCATTTACACCCAGGCAGTTTTCACTCTAACAATATGATAAAGAAATGAAGAATTCAGCATGTCACCTTCAAATCTTTGAAATGGGCTTTTCATATTCCCTTATTCCCATTTCTGGGTCTTCATCAGTGAAGCTGCCAGAAAAGCTCTGCTTAGCTTAGCCTACAAGGACCTCTTAACAATGTGCTGTGTGCCAACCCCGTGCTAGGTGCTGGGGGAGAAAGAACACAATGCAGCTCTGTTAAGGAACTTCCGGTGTAGTGAGCCAGTATGCATCCACATGGGAAGCAGTAAACAGAGCAGAGAAGGCTCTCATTTGCTAAGCACCTGTTAGGTGTCAGACACCATACAAACCCTGTAAAGCAGGTACTATCCCCCATTTACCAGATGAGCAAACTGAGGAGCAACAGTTTGCCAAAATCACACAGCTAGTAGGTAGGTTGAGGCAGGATTTGAACCCAGGCCCCTCTGACTCAAAATAAAGAGAATAATGTGAGACAACTTGTCAAGTGCCCAGTTGCATGAGGCAGATGGGAAGTGATGAAGAAGTTTCAGTGACATGCATGTAATCTACTAAGGTCAAGATGGGGCCTCTGGGTGTGTGAGTGTGTCAGGAAGCTGACAGCCTGTGGCAGGTGCTCTCATTCCAGATCCCTTTATAACCTGCTGGTCACAACCACCTGTTCCCACTGGAAGCCTCAGGCTCTGTCCGTCTCCTCTTGGGTGTGCTCGGGAGGTCAGGAGGGGAAACTGGCTCACATTTCCACATTCGACTCAAACTGCCCCCTCCCAGGCTTGCTGACCTGTTACTCTTTCAATTGCCTGACCTCCCAGGGCATTTTCTCCACGTTTCTCAACCCTAGAGGAGCTCCCCTGCTCTGTGTGGTGGCCTGGTGCCTCTCATTTCAGAACCACAAGACCCCACACTCTCCCTCCCTTCTTCCTGCCCATAGACTTCCAGTCACATCGAAGGCATAAAAGAGTTTAACATGTTTCTGTTATTTTTGCATGGCAGGGAGAAGAGCTGGCTCAGTTAGATATAGAATCTTCCCAGTCTGCTCAAAGGATCAAGTAGCTCCATCTGACACATCAGTTCTGCAGCTTAAAATAAAGAAAAGGGCAAAGCATTCTCTGACTTTTTTTCCCCTAGTGAAGAAATTAAGATGGAAAAGTTCTCTCAAGAGTCAAGGAGTCAGGGCCTCCCCTGGTGGCACAGTGGTTGAGCGCTGGGTTGTGAGGCTGCCCGCGGCCTCTGCAGTGCCAGTTCGATTCCCGGCTGCCGGCGAGGGTCCCACCAAAAAAAAAAAAAAGTTAAAAAAAAAAAAAAGAGTCAAGGAGTCAAGAGTCAAGGGGTGGGGAGGTAGGGGTCGGGCTTTCTCAAAAGAAAAATTGGATAAGTGGAGCGTTTTGCAGGGGACTTAAATGCAGGATTGTGTTTCAGGTTTTTTTTTTTTTTTTTTTTCAGGTTTTTTTTTTTTTTTACTTTTTAGTTTTAAATAATTATAGATTCACAGGAAGTTGCCCTTCACCCAGTCTCCCCCAATGATTACATTGCACATGATTATAGAACATGTAAAGGCCAGAAAACTGACAGATACAATGTGAGTGTCTAGTTCTATGCCATTTTATTACATGTATGGATTCATGGAACTGCCATCTCATCAATATACAAAATTATCCCATCACCGCAGAGATCTCCCTGGTGTACTTCTTAATAGTCACATCCCCACACTCCCCTCCACCATCCCTAAGCTCTGGTAATCATTAATTTGTTCTCCATCTCTATAATTTTGTACTTTAAAAAGTAGTTTGCAGGCCTTCCTGGTGGCGCAAGGGGTTCGGCACCGCACTGTGAAGCAATCCGCAGACTCTGCAGCGCGAGTTCCATCCCTGGCCGGCCAGAGAGAAACCCACATGGCGCAGCAGACCTCTCCTGTCTCGCCCGCTGCTCCCCTCAGCAGTGTATTTCAGTCTCTCTGCCTGTTCTGTTCCCCGCTCTGTCTCTGGTGAGTCCTCTCCCCCCCCCCATCTCTGGCCTGTACCCCAGCTCTTGTATGCATAAATAAATAAATCTTTTAAAAAAAGTAGTTTGCTTAAGAGAATGGATTGGCACTTCTAGCTTTCACGAGTCTGATGCTCAAAGGAATGACTTCTCTGGCCCAGGCTGCTAGTCCAAGCCCAGATTTCCTCTAGAACATCTCTTGCTAGTGTTTGTCTAGCCCCTGCAGCATGTGAAGCAGAACTTTCTCCAGGATTTTGGAAGTATTGAATTATTTGATATAAATGTTTACAGTAAAGAGTTTGTATAATCTCATTCAACAATTAGCAAAACTCTTGACTTTATTTTTTTATTTTTTAGACAATATTTGCTTCCCCATACCCCCTCAGATTGAGTCCCCATAGAATTTCCTTTCCCAAGACACCCGTGCACCATCACCACAGTCCCCTGTGCTCCTCCCTCCCTCCTTCTCTTCCCTCTCCCTCCTCCTCCCCTGCAGGATAAAATTCTTGCCTTTGGATTAAATATTACAAAATGCCCTCTCATGTGCTGATTTTCCCATCTCGTACTGTTCTGTCCCAAACAAGCATCTCCTTTTCCCATTCCTTTCACCTCGTGACAGGGATGAGATGTAGGAAGCCTGGAATGCTTACAGAAAATTCCAGAAATCCCTTCCTTAACTATAGATTAGTCTGCTGACACCTGTGAGAATGGCTATTATCTCAAAGACAAGAAAACAAGAGTTGGAGAGGTATGGAGAGAAGGGAAACCTGTACACTGTTGGTGGGATGCAACCTTTATGGAATGCAGTATGGCAATTCCTCAAAAAATTAAAAATAGAACTACCATATGATCCTGTAATCCCATTTCTGGTATTTACCAGAAAAATACAAAACATAAACTCAAATATATGTGCACACCCATCTTTATTGCAGGTTTACAAGCACCAAGAACTAGAAACAACCTAAGTGCCCATCAACTGAGGAATGGATAAAGAAAATATGCTATATATACACCATAGTTTACTATTCAGCCAAAAAATAAATAAATAAAGATGAAATCCTGCCATTTGCAACAACCTGGATAGACTTAGAGAGTATTATGCATAATGAAATAAGCCAGATAGAGAAAGACAAACACCATATGATTTTATTCCTATGTGGTATATAGAGAAAACAAACAAGTAAGTTAAAAACAAAAATAAACACTTGGACTATATAAGACCAATTAGTGGTTACCAGAAGGGAAGTGGGTGTGAATGAATCAGGAAATAGGAGTCCTGGTGTGGTAAAGGGTAGAAGTGGATGTTTAGTGGTGAACTTAATATATATACACATAATCTCAATGTTGCACTCCTGAAAATTATATAATGCTATAATGCAATGGTACTTCAATTAAAAAAAAGTAGTCTGGGGCCTCCCCGGTGGCACAGCGGTTGAGCGCTGGGTAGCGAAGCTGCCCGCGGCCTCTGCAGCACCAGTTCAATCCCCGGCTGCTCCCTGGCCACCAAAGGAGGGTCCCACATGGCGCGCAGACCTCTCCTGCCGCCCGCTGCTCCCCTCAGCAGTGTACTTCGGTCCTTCTGCCTGCTCTGCTCCCCGCTCTGGTGAATTCTCTCACCTTCCCGCACTTCTGACTGTACCCAGGCTTGTATGTATAAACAAACAAATAAATAAATAAATAAATAAATAAATAAAAAAAGTAGTCTGACCTCCAGTAAATTGGGACCTTTCAAATGTTAGTTCATGTGTGGAATATATTTCCTAGGCTGATTATATGTTATCTATATGATATCTGCAAGGGTCATTCTGTGAGGAAATTCCATCTAGAGTCTCGTTCCCCTGGAGCCCAACTTCTAGGATTCCCTTGTGGGTAAGAGAACTTTAAAGGGCCCTCTAAGGCCATAGCATCAAAAAATAATAACTCATTCATGCCAAGTCCAGAAAAGGATAGAAGTGAAGTCATGAAGGGTTCCATGGCTAGGATTAATTTGGATGTCCCACACCCTCTCCCCAGGACAGTTCCTGAGATCTTTCCACCTTACATGGACTTAACTTGATTTTCACAAAGAGCACTATGTTCTGCTCAGCCGGACAGCAGCATAACCACAACTCCAGACTCAGACCCATTAGGATGTGCCTGGTAGAAGAAATAACCTAAAACTAATGGTTCCCTCCACAGCCATCCACCAGGGTAGAGATTGGGAAGTGGGGGTGTTTTGACCAGGAGACACTGCAGTCCAGTGAGTGCCCCCTTCCTTCTTGAAGTGGGGGGTGACATGCCCCAGCTCCTTGTTTTCTGAGAGAGGGCCCCTGCCTTCCAGAACATTCCTCACCTCCCCTTGGAAGAACACAGGGCCAGCTCCTGGTCAGAAAGCTGACCTTGGCTCTGTTCATTCCTCTCTGGGAGGCTTTCTTGTGGAAGGCAGGCAACTTCAACTCTCAGCCTTAGTTTCCTCATCTGCAAAAGAGGGATAGAGAGTAAGCACCCTCCTAATCTCACAAAGGTGGTCATCTAGATCAACAGATTGATTCGAAAGGTCCTGCTGAAACTTCCAGAGGGAAAGCATAGTGATTAAACCGAAACAGTATTAAAGATAATTTTAGGATGTGGCCAGATTGGGGGTGGGGGGTGGAAGTAATATAAAATTAAAAGTTTTAAGTTGTTCCCCAATGTTTAGAAAAACATTCTTAAAATAACTTAAAATCTTACCAATTTTATCTTAAGCCTATTCTGACTCCATTTTGAGTATTATTCATTATAATTTTTAGCACAAGGACAAGGTTGACCATAAGATATTATGAAATCTGTTAGAATGTAGGATTTTTTAAAAAGAAATGTGGGATAAAGTGATCCAAAGTGTTATTTACAAGGCACTAAAAAATTGATTTCATGCCTAAAGACAGTTAGCTTTGTTGAGCCAGCAGCTGTACTATTTCACAACATCAAGTTGTATCCAGGTCATGTGGTTGTAAAGTAGAAAGTCAATCATAACCCCCTCGGCTACAGCAGACCACTTTGGTGCCTCTTCACCTGTTTTGTGTGTGTGTATGTGTGTGTGTGTGTGTGTTTGGTGCCTCTTCGCCTGGTGTGCGTGTGTGTGTGTGTTTGTGTGTGTACAGACTACCCTGAGCTGTATCCCTGGGGTTTTGAGCTGAGAACTTCATCAGACTCCAGCCAGAGGCTAATTAATCATCACATCAGCTCATTGCAAATCAAGTAGCCATGCTGATCATTAATGCAAGTCCCCAGAGTCAGTAAAGGCAGCAGAAAGAGAAGGAAATGGCCTCATCTCCTCTCAGGATTACAGGAGGAAAAGTTCCTGGCATCTAATGAGTTCCTGCTAAACTGGAGATGTGCTCCAGGAATTAAGCTCTTTCTACTTTTTCCTCTAATATTCCTTTCAAAATGCTACCCAGAAGACAAAGGGGTCTGTTGCATCGCTCAGCAGTGCTCTCTGCCACCTGAGGCTCCTCCGGGTAAGCAATTCATGCTCCCACAGAGCTATGGTCCAAGACTGCCCCGCTGGTTGGAGAGCGAAATCGCAGCCAACTACCTGGCCTTCCTTTCGCCATGATATCAAACCGTTCTGACTGATTTGTTCTGGGAGAGCTTGTGCTTTGCAGTTTGCTTCATATTTGGGTCAAAGGTCACTGTCAGGAGGAAGTCACTGATAATTGCTCCAGTTTTGCAGTTATTTTTCTTTTTTTCCCCTGACCACTCTGAAATAGTGCCTGGTCTACACAATACCTTAATAACTGGGAGAAAAGTGAACGACCCCTGCATTTGTACATTTAACATTTGCTATATTTTTTAAGATAAAAAGGAAAACCTCGACAGAGGATTTTTAGGGCAGTGAAATGACCCAATACATACTATAATAGGGGGGGCCTCCCTGATGGCACAAGGGGTTAAGTCTCAGTACCGTGAAGCTATCGCCAGCCACTGTAGCACCAGTTCAATCCCCAGGCAGGGAGCTGACCCACATGGCGCAGCAGACCTCTCCTGTGTCGCCCGCTGCTCCCCTCAGCAGTGTATTTCAGTAGATCTGCCTGTTCTGCTCCCCACTCTGTCTCTGGTGAATCCTCTCACCCCTAGCATCTCTGGCCTATACCCCAGC